CATGTAGATGTTCAGATAAGCCTGTTGATTATTCACAGTACTTTCTGTAAAAAAGCTATTTTCATCTTTCTTTTTCACAACAGTGCAATATCAGGGGAAGGAGCCTTCATTTGCACAGACACTCCATACCATTTATTCAGTAAGCAATGGTTACTAGAAAATAACGTTTTGTTACGTGATATTGGTTATTTCCCAACTTGCCTCACAAAAATGTGGGTAACAATATCACAAACTCTTATCCTGTTTCTCTGATTCAGAATCTATTTAAAAGCTTTTTCTATAGCTTGTTGTGGATGTAGAGTTCAAGTTTCTGAAAACTTTTGTGGCTACGCTGTTCAGTGGGACTCTTTCTGGCCCAGCAGCTGGCAGATGTGGATTTGTGCTGCATAGTCAACCTTCCCTAATGCCTCCAGGAGAAGGCAGGGAAGGAAAACACCAAAGTTACCAATGTGGAGAAATAACAGGAAAATGTGGAGCTAGTGGGCAATCACACCCCTAGTCCCTTCACGAGCCATGGGGTCTGGTGTCCCCTTTCTCCTGAAATGTTCACTCCACTCTCTTGACCAGAACCTGCTAAACTCCTGTTCCTTCTCTTACTGTCTTACCTTGTTGCACTATTCTATAATGTTTTGTTCACCACAAGCCTAGACTGTTCTCCCTGTTTTCCTCATGTCTCTGCTCCTTAATCATCCCTCTACTCTGCTCTGGTGAGACCCCACCTGGAGTACTGCATCCAGTTCTGGAGCCCCCATTACAAGAGGGACATGGACCTGCTGGACCGTGTCCAGAGAAGGGCCACGAGAATGATCCGAGGGCTGGAGCAGCTCTCCTGTGAGGACAGACTGAGAGAGTTGGGGCTGTTCAGTCTGGAGAAGAGAAGGCTCCGAGGTGACCTTATTGTGGCCTTCCGGTATCTTAGGGGGGCCTACAAGACAGCTGGGGAGGGACTTTTTAGGATCTCAAGTAACAACAGAACTAGAGGGAATGGGGCAAAGCTGGAAGTGGGCAGAGTCAGGCTGGATGTGAGGAAGAAGTTCTTCCCCATGAGAGTGGTGAGACCCTGGAATGGGTTGCCCAGGGAGGTGGCTGAGGCCCCATCCCTGGGGGTCTTTAAGGCCAGGCTGGATGAGGCTCTGGGCCGCCTGATCTAGTGGGAGGTGTCCCTGCTCATGGCAGAGGGGGTGGAACTGGGTGATCCTTGTGGTCCCTTCCAACCCTGACAGATTCTGATCTGTTTTGGCAGAGGACTTTGGAGCCCTGGTGGCTCGGTGGTTGGACTTGATGATCTTGGAGGTCCCTTCCAACCTAAATGATTCTATGATTCTATGATCCTGCTCTGTTTTGCATTTCATGTCAAATATTTTTCCAATAACTCCTGGGTGTTCAAAGAAGTCTGTTTTATTCATCACTTTGCTGAGACCCCTGGCATGCTGTACCAGGGTTAACACCATGCTTCTGTACTTTGCAGTTCAAATTACACCAGTTAGAAGTTCACCTGTTTTATTGATTTGTTTTCATTGTGCTCTCCACAAGCTTAACTAAAGATCAGCTCTCCTTTGAAGATGCACTAGGTGCCGTGTACTGCATGGGGTACCTCTGGGGCCATGCAACCTGTTTGGGTACAGCAAGAGGCTGCACTTGTCCCCGAGCCTGCTGGCTCAGTTTATCCATCATCCCAGTGATGCTGTGACTTTTGTGGATGAAGAAGAGCGCTCTTGCCTACAGGTGCTTTCCTGTGATGACTCAGTTTGGAACAGGAGGAGTTATGAAGCAAACAAAGCTGCAGGTCAGTCTCAAGGAAAAAAAAAAATCTGGATTGCTTTTAGGAGCTTTTAGGAAAGTCTGGGACTTTAAAAGTAAAAGTCAGTTTTAATTACTCTCAAGTGGCACTACAAGATCTGACCTAAGCCATGCCTGGCCTCAGTGCCAATCACAACTAGATACCCAACTTTTCTGCAGAGCAGAAAGAATACAAGATCTGAGAAGTATTTGTATGTACTAATCTTGTGTAAGAGAAAAAAGTACTCTAGGATTTTTTTTGTAGTCATTAAGGAAAGAGATGCTCTTCCAGAGAAGGATCCCAGGCAGTTGCCTTCTGAAGGAGCTACTGACTTGGGAGAGCCTGAGGCATTGTCCTTAAAATTAGTGTTTCTGAATACTTCGCTCTTTGTCACTTGTCCTTTTATCTTAGAGTAACTGATTTACTGGGTCTTAATCCATTAAATAACAAAACACTGGTAAAACCCCAGATCCTCAGGAATAGCTGCTTAGCAATGTGTGAGTAAAAACTGTAAATATTAATGGCTTAGCTGGGTTTTAGTTAGATTAATGTGAAACTAAGTGAATAAAATGGGTCAGAGGTGAGAAGTCAGAAGTGAAAAATGAGCTGGACTTTCCCTTTTCACAGTGGTGTGAATTCTTCCTGTCTTTGTTGCACTGCTCTGTGTTTGCATTTCATATTGTGTGCTTGAAATGTTACAGTTCCTTCTGTGTGTGGAGACTCGTTTGTCTGCAGCAGATTCCTTTAACTGCTATGGATCATGCCCAGAGGTGAACATGCTCCATGTTTATTGCAAGTCAGGTGTCAACGAGCACCACGTGTAGGAGCGCTGAAGTACGCTTACAACTGTCTTTTTAGTCATAAACCTTTTTCTGAGGTCAGAAGAGTGAAACCGAGCAAAGAAAATAGGAGTCATCCAATAAATGCCCTGCGAGGTTCAGCAAACTCAGTCTGTCTCCTCACAGGCACTGAAGATCCAGCGTGCACTGAACAGCCTTGCTGGGATTGCTCAGGTGCCGCAGGCGGTGGCCACAGGCCGTGCCCCTCTGCTGCTTGCCCTGTCATTACTCACACGGTGTCTGCCTGCTTACTTAGGGAGCTCCTGTCTCTCCCCATGGTATCTGTGTACCATAATCCTCATTTAAGAGCTGAGGGAATTAGAGGGGCAATGCAGCTAAGCGATTTACCCTGAAGTGACAAGTCAGCAATGAAGCATTAATCACAGCCCTCCACAAGGTCATATCAGTATTTAACTTTACTTTTTAATTCCTTTATAAACAGGAATACAGATGTTGCTTTGCTACACTGCACAAATGCACACGCTGGATGCTTATCTGACTGAAGGGAGCAGACATCAGTGTTAGAGGCTGCCCTGACTACAAGGTTGGCTTTGCATGAAATAAGACTTCTGGCACCAGATAATTCAGTCAGGATTTTACAGAATATCTCTTTGCCCTTTCAGGATGATCTTTATTAAGTATATTCTGCACTGGAGCCTTCATTTCTGTTCTGTGTGGCATATAATTCACTACCTTCATTTACGAAGTTATCTGCATTCAAGTAATGTCATTAGCAATGGTGTAGTCTAACAGTGCTGTCAGCTTGATGTCCTCAGACAACTGAGGCATAGTATGACTGAGAGTTGAACCTCTGCTAGGATTGTCCAGGTCTCTGGACTTTCTGGAAACCTTGGTGACCTATTGAGACAGAGCTGGGCGATTTATTCCCATTTCATTCCAGCTGTGGTTCTTAATATTTTCTTCATTTTGGAATTCACTATATAAGGGCATTTTGACGATGATACAGACAGTAGGTTAAAGATGAGCTCAGAAGAACTTAGTTGTTTCTTTAAAGATACCATGTTCCAGATCAAAGTGAAGTTAAACAAACAAAGTGGTCGAGTGGACAAATCCCTTCCCCATATGTCTGGATACATTGAAAGAGGAAGCATGTTCTGAGAACGGAGTCTTTTCCTCTCATGTGATAGTACAACTGGTATTGGCAAAGAGATCAGGGGAAGCGCTTCCTCTTTAAATAGGGGAAGCCAACCTCTCAAAATTTTGGAGACGATGTTTTTGCACACATACTTCCTGCTTTAATCTAAAAAGACTGTATCTCTGAATAACAATGATTATCTTTTTTTCTCTCCCCCACTTTAGCTGCCAAGGACTTGTAATTGAAGTGGCACAGCACATGCAACTGCCTTTTCTGTGCCCTCATCATAGCCTTTGAACCAGCCGATTGCTTTAAGCCACACTTGATAGTAACTTCCTGCTCTTCCATCAAAATCAGCTGCTGGCTGGATGAAAGCAGCTCTACTGAAAGAATGAGGAACAGGTACAGAAATCTCAATGCCTCTTCTGACAGCATCTGGCCAGTCAGCCAGCACTCATGCATTTGTCAGATCAGCTATGCTATGCATTTTTTTTTTTTCCTTTCTGAAAGCCCCTCCCCCCCCTAAAAATTAACCCTACAGAAGAGCTGTGGAAAGACAGGTAGGGAACACACAGGGAGCTGAATTTTTAGAGTGGAGGGGTGTACAAGACACAGGACATCAGCCTTCATTTGGATCAGCACGGACAGAGTGAAAATTGCAATTTTTTTTTTTAAAGGCATTTTGTTTCATTGGTGATTTTGTTCACCTCTCAGAAATGAAGTGTAACACTTTGCAATGCAAAACACACTATTTGTGTTCGGTTTATTCATACCAAGTTGGTATAATAACTTTACAATTTTGCATGAGGTAAAAAAACATTCAATGGAAAGATTATGCCACTAGGAATATCCTTAAGAAATATACACCATTTCTCATTTAAAAAAAAATAAGTCAAATTGCATCTTCTTTACAAAATATTATTTTCCTTTACAAACCTTATACAGTATGTCATTTGAATAAGCTTTTAAAATAAATAGTCCATCAAAGTTAAATTAACTTCTATTATATATCTATTTGATTTTTAAATTAATGTCATAATACAATCCTAGGTATCGGTACAACTTACCAGTAAGCCACAACAAACAGTGGCGAAAATTACCTATCATTTAATTCCAAACTTATAGTCAAGTTTTCTGTACTTTAAAAAAATAACATCATCCTCTCAAAAGTCTGTGTACACATCTTTGTATATTAATTTTTACTGTCTTAAGAATGCAGCAGTAAAAAGATAAACTCAACAGCCCATTTGCTTTTCCTTAGGTCTGAGAAGTGTGAGGAGTGCATTTAGGCCTTTTCTGAAGCTGGTACTGTTCTTGAATCAGAATCTTCTTGTTCAGAGTCTTGAAGATGCTCCGTTGTCTTGCTAGCCTCATCCCCAATCTGATCGCTCTGATTTTTGGATTCTTCTGAAATGACAGTTAGCTTGTCATAAAAAAGATGCTCTTCTTGTGGGAGTGCAGGAAAATAATGTGGACCACTGGGAGGCTTATTCAAAAACTGTGGAAAGAAGAGGAAATGAGAATTAGGCTGCACCAGCCACACCATCCTGTTCGGTTAGAAAGATGTTTTATAGTGTTTTTCACACATCAATTGCTTTTCTCTATCCTTAGAAGTCCCAGAGTCGCAACAACATAATATCCTCTGTGCTTCCATCAATATCCTGTGCAAGGCTTGGAAGCAAATCAGAAGTGCCTTTATTTGCAAGAAGATACCACACAGGTTAGTGACTTCTTTGGTAGATAAGCTTTCTTAAAAAGCTAAACAAATGAACACGGTGTTGTCTGGAAGCAAAATCTAAACCTGGTGTTTTGCCTATAGGTGAAGTTCACAGAGATCTGTCAAACAGCTCCGAGAGCTGTGAATTGTTCTGGCCATCTCAGAGAGCTGTCTGCCCAGACATCACACAGTGATGCTTTAAATGTCAATGTAAACCATAACCATTTACTCAAGTAAAGGAAGGAGAGAGAGATTTGCAGCACTATACAGTTCAATGAGAAAGATGAATTAGTTTGGGTACTGAAATATCACAACTTCCTCCTACTCTCTCTTCTATTGGATGTTCTATCTATAAGATGGAGCCAGACTCAAAAATCAACATGGACTCTGCAGGATGTCACGACTGTATTTTGAATGTCAACACAAGAATAGCACACCTATTCAATGCAGTAAGAATATGTCAGCCACTCATTTTGGCAGCTGCAAGTGCCAGTTCATTTTACTGGTAGTAGCTGGAGGAGTACAGCTGCATTTTGTTCTTGTGACCTGACCCCTATTACTTCAGTGCATTTTACATAAGAAACAAGCTGCTCTATCAGGATTCCTGTTAACTGTAATTACAAAAGTAAATACCAATATTATTACTATTAGACCATTTTCTAGCAGTGATTTGAAATCTTCTGTCAGTAACCTGCAATTTCAGTGTTCATGTAGTGAAGCTGCTGCCTTGGAAAAAATGTCAATTTTGGCAAGCACAACTGACCTTTGATTAGTGTGATTAACCACTATAACCCAGTAGCACAAAGTGAAAATTCTCTCTTCCTCGTGAGCAACCTTTGAGGAAGATAAAATTTGACCACATCCTGTATTGATCAAAGCAATGCTACGTTCCCAACTGCTGAGCTCCAGGTTCAAACTACTGTGTGCTGAGTATGTGCTCCACTTAAAGCACAAGACGATTGTTTGGGTATTACCCAACAGTATTGGCTAGCATTCATTGCTCTCATTTTATCTTGAATGGTCAGACTTCAGAGCATTCTCTACTTCAGTTAAAACTGTGTCCTGGTTTTGGCTCATTCATCTATTTGTGAAAGAACTTTGTTTCAGGAGAACAAACGTGCAGTTTTATGTCAAAAATGAGATAGGGGAGACAGATCTCAGTTGTTTGCTCTCTAAAAAGAGGAACTGGAGGTTAATACCTGTTACTCTTTCACTTTAAAATGAAAGGAAACATCCTGTTTCTAAGCCATACAAAACCTCATATTACAAATTATGCAGTTGCTTTGCAAATAAAAGTCTATGCCAAGTTTTTAGTTGTTCAGCTTTTAAATATTTTGGACCATTCTGTGCAGAACAGTTCAAAATGACAGTACTTTGGAGTTTATTATACGCCAGTGTACTTCAAAAGGAAGTCTAATTTGACTGCTTCTTATGTCTGTCACATCTGTCCAGCGCCACAGAACTTGGTGAAAAAAATGAGGTAACTTTCATGCAAAATTTATGACCTTATAATGCCAGAAATGAACTGAACTTCCAGTACCTTTTTCACGCTGAAAAGTACCTTTCTTCGTCTGCTTTTTCCAAAGTTCACAACTTCATAATTTACATATATTTGAATAACTTTTTATATTTGGCAGAAAAGTGAGTTCCACCATACACAACTATATAACAACAGATAATCAGCATTGCTCCTTGCAGTCTAAATCCCCCCCAGACTAGTCTGCACTTTACAGATGGTCAACAACTGGGTGCAAATTAAAGGCAGCAAAATAAAGGAAGCTCTAAGGGTTTTGGCTCTGGGAAAGGAGGCAATTCTGCTGAAAGAGTTGATTTTAATTGCGTTAGGTGGAAAACAAACCTCTTTCAAATGTTCTGGGAAAATATATGAAGGGCAGAAAACATCTTTGGTGAGTCGATACAGATACAAAAAGGAAAAGAAACAAACAGCAACAGATATTACAACAGCCAACATTGATCCTATAAGAACAGTCACAATTATCCACACAGGAGTTACACCTGCAAGAGACAAGAAAATAAAAATCAAAACTCTGATAACTAATTTCTGAATATATTATTTTTTAATTATCTCTTTTTCTATGCAATTTTAACCCCCCCCCCATTAAAAAATTGTAACTGCAAACTTAAGTCTTTGTTTCCAGACACAAAATACCTCTTAGCTCTTAAATTTTTCCTCTGAATAGCCTGAGGAAGTTCTCACTGACGTAAGCTCACAAGCCTATTTAGACATTTACAGTTACACATACTGATGATTCTACATGCAATACGAGGCAGATGATCCGAAGACCAACAGAAGCATCCACAAGGTGATATCACGTAAAAAGCTACTGCACACCCTTTGGTGTTTCAGGACCACAGGAGTTGACACATAACACTACCAGAGCATAGGCTTCTGCTCTTCTCTAAAAGAAATCTGTAAAAATGGCAGCAAAGACAGCAGGGGACAAAAGTCTGCAAAACTCTAAATTATTCAGCCATTTAAAAAATTGTCGTGCCTGGGGATTTAACAAAAGGCAATGAGAATGAAGATGTAACCATACAGCACTGTATAAATATTTTAAACCAACCTACGCTCGCTAAGCACTGTCACAGCTATGAACTTAGAAGCAACACTACCACCAAAACCTCCCTGCAATTAAACTGCAGTGCATGCAGATAATATACATGTAGGAAAAAAAAAATATGAGGGAACATGTTATGAGGAAATAATGTGAGAAACAGGTTAGCCCAATAGCTTCTCCAGGCTCCACCCAGATGCCTTGCTCATTAACTTGTATCTCTGCCTCTGATTTTACACACATTATCTGAGGGTTTATGTCAGCTGAAATACAATTTATGCCTGTGAAAAAGACAGCATATAGGGCCTCGTCCTTCCTTTTAACTAGGGACGTGAAGCTCCCTGCAGCTAAGGCGGCATGCCTGGAAAGGGCTTTTGGTACTTGGCGGCCTTCAAAATGAGAAGGAAAGTATCTAAACAAAATATTTGTTTATATTATTAATTAGTAACAGCTGTGTTTTGCAGAGAAAGCCCACTTGCTGACAGACATAGGCAATATCACCACAAATGAAGAAAACCACAGCAGAGTCCAATTCCTTTCTCAGTTACAGACATATGAAACAAAGGCTTTAGTAGGATAATGAATATAGCTTATGGTCAAAAAAATTCAGACACAGAGTGTGATCAATGAAGAGCCTATGCTCCACTTAATTCTGATTTTCAGAGCATGAGGAATGCTGGGCTCTCTTCAGCAAAGTAATGCTTCATGCCATCAGTGCCATACTGCTTGTAGTTTTCACTTTGTTTCCAGCTCATCCACTCCGAAGGTATGCATGCATTAACCACCAAACAATACTAAAGTAACAAACACATCCATTTTGGGAAGGTTTACATGGATTTTCATTTTGAATGGCTTTGCAGGTTCCCCAGTTCCCTGCAGCACAGGTCCCACTGTGATGCACCAGGCATTACCGTTGTGGGTTGTCTGCTCACAAAGCTCTTCACTCGGTTTCCCCGTTTTGTTCCACTCAGGGATAACTGCTTGCACTTGAACACAATATATTGTCCATGGCTCCAGCTGGGACAGTATTTCAGAGTTATGTTTAGTATCTATATGAGTTACCTAATAATAGAAGAATACAAAAATGTTGAAAAACACAAGTCCAGTGAATGGACTAGCTAAGTAATTAAAATTACATTTAGTGGTACAAATCCTAGCAGTTATAGCTGCAATGTGACTAAGGCTTTTAAAGGCAGAATGAAGTCTGCCTGCATCTGCCACATAACTGATAACTCTCTGTGGATTTCACCTACAGTTAGTGTGACATCATTCCTACCACTGACCTTCTGGCTGCTTCTAATAAAGTTTTAGGCCAAAGAGGCCTACAGAGATGTGATAAATGAGATCTGCTTGCAGAGAAACAATTGTTTAACCAAATGAGATCAAATAAGAGCGCTGTCACAGGCAAACATAATTCAGTTTGAGACCAAGCAAGTAGGATGGATAATCTAGACAAAAAACAAAAGACAGCGAAAGAAAAAGGTTTGTGGAAGCCATCAGGTGGCCAGCAGCAGATGCAACTTGCTGTTTAGAGGCATCATTGGCTATGTCCCTGTAACTATATGGTCTCTGCAGAGTATAGGAATCTGTACAACATCCCCCTTATGCAGTAAGAGATTCTTTCTCAGGGATGAGAAGACTATAGCTAAGATTCAACATTTTGAGCAAGCATCCACTTCAAAAAACAACCTATGAAGCTACATGGTCTATGCCTTTTGCTTCTTTGATCCCTGTGAGATCTCCCAGACTTCTGCTCTGAAGTGTTACAAGCACAGACTCTAAGTGAAGTTCCTGCTTTCTCTGTTAATCCGCCTAAGTTCACCTCCCATATGCAGAAATAGCTTAATTTCTTGTAGTGTGGGAATTGAAAACCAGTCTGGTTTTTGGGAAGTGACGATGTCTCATTTTCTGGAATTGAATGCCAAAGAATTTTGTAGGGTAGTGAATACAAATCAGAATCCTGTGGAGTGGAGTCACTATGAAAATTGTACTGATGTACAAACTGTTAATTATACTGTGACTGGTATCTTCTGGTAAAGGGCTTCCTTTTTTCCTGTCATAGAACTCATGAACCTACAATTAATATGTTATTTATGATCAGTCTCTGTGCATTAAGTCTTTTGAACTGAGTAACACATCTGTCTGTAGAAGAGGCTGCCCAGGAGAGGAAGAAAGCAAATTACAACTGATAGAAACTGAAGAGGTGAAGGTGACCACAGTTAATATAGAGCCTCATCCATGGTAGTGTTTAAAGCCCAAAGTTCCACAAGTAGCACAAATAGTCAAACCACACGAGATCTGTGTCTAAGCTTACCACCATGATCACAGATACTGCTGAAGTTACAGCTTCTAGGTTTACCCTTACTTGTATGTGTGAAATACAGAGGTTTGGTGGGGGAGACTGCATTGCACATAAGCACACCACTCCCAGCGAATAACCTCTTGGAATGTAGCAGTTACTTCTGATTATGGAACGAAAAACTTATTTCCATGCTGCTGTTTAACTACACAGCTATCTGCCACTTGCTCTGAACAGCAGCTGCAGCAGCTGTACGCTATTACACTGTAACTAGTAGAGATACATTCTTATTTCAGTGTTGGCACCTTCCAGAACTTCACCAGTATGGTATTTTACCAAGAAAAGCATACATCAAAGTCATGGATTCACCATGCCCAGGAAGCAGAATTTACCTGTGTGTTGCTGCTTTTCTTCCAGTACAGTATTCTGTAGTTCCACGAGCCGTAATACTGCTTTAGAGGCCACTTGTCATGTTCAGCAAAAGGGCCTATGAAATCCACATGCAGGGACCCAGACTCTGACTTCACTTTGACATCAGGTGGCCCAATGACTGCTGTATATTAGAATGGTGGGAGAGAAAAAAGAATGCAATTCAGTTTTGCATTGTTTTCAATCTGACATTTTTGTAGAACCCATGACAATTCATTCTTTAAATAATTTCATGTTAGAAGAAATTAATTTCCTTTCAAGGAAAGGCATAAGTAAATCCTTTCCTTATAGAACTGGTCTTGAAAGGCATTTATTTTGCAGTAACATAACAGGTGCTATTGCAGACTACATCTCCCATCCACTAAACTAACTTCAGTTCTCTTCTGGCAGCTGTGGTGACTCCTGGGAGAGGAAGGACTATTTCTGTAGGTATTACTCACTTCTCCTTCTGGACAGCTGTGGAAACACCTGTCTTTTCTAAGCAGACCCTCTAGTGAAATGTTGTAATGTTTCTTGCTTTGTGATAATTTTAAAAAAATGAAACATTTGAATTATTTCTGCATGTCTTACTGACAGTGCTCTGTAGACTGAATATTATATTCTCGCATTTTGTAAATATCTTGTCTTTATTATGTTTTTGCACCACTACCCAAATTATTTCATGAGTAGCTTAGTTATCAACTACGTTGTGTAGACAATGAGCTCTCCATTAAAGCATCCTATAATTCCAGCAAACAATTCTGCCTTGACTGGGTCTACTGAAGTTCTGCCTGGCTAGTCACACTATAAAGTGTCTAAGAAAGGAAGACCTCAGTATCAAGACTTGCTTTCCTCTAGAAATATGTACTTCTATAACTAAAAAAAACCCCCAAACTCTGCTTGCTGGATTGTACATTCATGTAGTGCTCAGGAGTAAGTTGTTGAACTTACAAAAAAATAATGTGAGGAAGGTCTTGGCTACTCTGGTTTTCTTAGGCTCTTTTTACAATACACTGTGGATTTTATTAATAAGCACTAGCAGAAATAATAACACCAAATGGCATATCAGCTAGTTTTATCATGATGTTCTGCTCAGATTAGCTATGACAACATTAAAAATCCTCATGTCCTCCTCAGAGATTCGGCCAGTTGGCCAGTACTCCCAGGTCTTTCTTTCCAGGTAGTTTTATACTCAGATTTTCCCATTCAGGAACAAGCTCCTTTCCAAAGCCAAGCCTGCTCTGAAGGCCTCATGCTCTTTCAAATATATGTCAGACTCTGTACAACGTATGTACAACTCAAGGATATGTACAACTCTGTTAATGATTCACAAGTTTGCTCTCTACTCTGAAAATCCATTAATACTTTTTGCATTACATTTTCTTTTGGCTGCAATTTATACTGGCAATGTTGTTGGTTTGTTTTGCTTTGTTTTGTTTTGTTTTGTTTTTTTCCATGCTATGTTCCAGTGCTTCTGTTCCAATTATAGAAACATTATGCTTTTGGACAGGTAACCAATGAAAGCATTTTGAAAAATAAGGCTGTAAAGTGTAAAATTACACTCTGAAATCCAGGGAAGAATTACAGAATTCATGCAAATAGAGGCAGAACAAGAGGAAAAGAATTTTTAAAATTTATTCTCAAAGATGAGGTGTAACAGAACCTTCCTGTATGGTTGTGCATTAACAGCTGTGAGGAGAAAAAAGCCTTAAGTAACATCAACTACATAACCAAAAATATTTTGTATATTCTTATGAGTGGAGTAAGAATGTAAAAAACAGACACTCACTGGTAAAAAACACTCTCTGATTGCCAAGCTCACATGACAGCAACATGATTGACAACTATTTTCTGCACTCTAATGCAAAGCCATGTCTAATTCCCCTCTCACAAAAGATTGTAAAGCTTCACTGAGAGAATGGCAATATTGTGAAATGAAGATTTCTTGGCTTAAAATTAATCTTTTTCTGTGATTTTGATTGTAATTAAAAAATAAAAATAAAGCTTTTTGCCCGACATGGCAATGACGAAGAAAGTAATTGAATCTCTTTGGATATAAAGCAAGTCTGAAGAAAAGCTCTCCCTAGCTGAAAAATAGAAACAATCTGTATTTTAAGGGACAAGTATACATTTTTTTAAACCTCAAAAGAGGTTTCAAGTACCAAGTACCAGTACTAACTAGCTATAACAGTGAACATACTATGCTTTCTGAGACCAACTTCTGTCTTCAAAAGATGAGTGTTAACAGCTAAGATTTTATATTCAATGTAATTAAATTTAAAAATTATCTGCATGCTACAGCTTTTCTTACTAAGCCACACTGTAAAGGTCCATTAATAGCAGACAATATTCTTTTGTGTAAAATTAGAAAAAGGCTTACTGTCATCCATTGGCTTAAATCTGATGGTTGCCCAGTCTGAATGGCTATTTCCTGACTCCGCTCTGACCTGTAAAATGTAGTCTCCATACGCAGGCAGAGAAGAGACATTGCACTCTGTGAGCCTCAGGTTTGTGCTCACATTTACATACGTGTTTCTAGGGAGTTTGACACTGTATGGAAGAGAAACAAAATGTATATGATTGCAAATTGTAACTGACTAAATGTCTTTCCTCTCGATTATCTGAAAAAAGCATCATATCTGTTAATACAACCAGTTATGACCCATTAACAAGGAAAATTAAATGCAGTGTGCAAAAAACATCATTACTAGTGTATACACACACCATAAGCATTTTATATGCATCCATAAATATGTGATAATTGGATAAAGATTAAAATGATGATTCAGTAAATAGATGCCCTTTTCTTGACAGTCATTACAAAATGATTCAGGCAGTCAGTAGTTATCAGACAAGTCTGCAAATAGGAAGAGAATATCACTATGCATGTCCTTGCTGTCTAACTTGGACTTCGTTCAGAACTGTGCTTACGATAGCCATATAAGGAGAAGCCAGAGAAAACAGAGCCTGAGAACTTACTGGGAATCATTCTATATAGGATATTATTTCTGTTTTGTATCAAAAGCCCATTGAGGAATATAGTGATCAACAGGTCACTGTTGATCTGCTGGTAGAACCCAGAAACATCTTTTGACTAACGTGGTCGGTACCCTTGATTTGTGGACTTCTCCTCAGCAGGCACCTGCCTGTGGGTGCCACCACCTCTGCTTTACATCCCACCTTGTCTCAGCCAAAGAATTCAACCTTCGGCAGGAACGCAAGACCTCCGGCCCAACACGTGGTGTTCCTGTCAAGCGTGGTGGCAGGCAGGGAGCTCACTGCCGGGCTGGGGAAGTGGCTGCCTCCCGCACTACACTCACGCAGGCTGCTTTTCCCAACAGGGAAGACCAGCCTGGAAGGACACAGTGGAAAAACCACACCGAAGCTAAATCAACACAACAAAAATGAACAAAGGAGACCTCAGAAAGTGTGTCCTAAGTTTAAAGCACTGAATGGATGAGCCATCAGCCTGCAGTTCACTGGGCATTTCCCCTAAGGGTGCAGGCAAACTGGCTACATTGGTGGCAGAGCACAAAATGCTGCTGGAGTGAAAGATGAGATATGGTCCTAAGGCTCAGCAGGACTAAGTCTCTTGAGTTGCAGGTAATAGTTACATGACAGAGAAAAAAACACACACAGAGCTAATAATAGCTGAGGTTAAAATGTGTTTCTGGTTCAAAAAAAAAAAGTATATACTGCCTCGAGTGTGCATTGTGTAGAAAATGCCTCTGCCCTGTTATTTACCTCAGAAGATAAGCCTCTCACAAGCTAAAAGAAAGGGACAGCTGCTGATCTTCCTATAAAAAAGGAAACAAATCATAAACACACGCATCTATAAAACATGAATTAAAGGAAGCACAAGCCCCTCAGACTTACCTCTTAGACTGGACAGTGTAACTTATATTCCCGTTGTGAAACTTAGGTGCATCCCACTGTAAAATGCTATGAAGATTAAATGAAGTAATTCTCACGTTTCGGGGTTTTGGAACTATTCCAGACACTGTGGGAGCAATCAAAAACAAGCAAACATTTTAGTATGTCTTCCTCCAGCAATTTGTCAGTTATCCAAAACTTAAATACAGCCTTCTTTCTCTTCCTTGCCTCAGAGACTTTTTTTAAAACACACCTTTAATATAATTAAAGTCCTGATGCCCATTGTTGCTTCTGAGATTATGTAACAAAAACAAATTAGCCAGCACCAATGATTTCCAGTAAGTACAGCCTATGATATCATCACTTATTAAGCATGACTGACTTGTTACTGCCTAAGACTTAGGGCCCATCAGGCTATGTGCATGAACCCTCACTAAGATTGTCAAAATCAAATTTTTCTAAGTAGTGCTCCAGTAGCACTATGGAAATAACATGGTTGTGTGGACTGATTTGATGGGTTTTGGGGTCCTTGTGTTTTGTTTTTTTTCCTGAAGAGGAAGGTGAGCAGTCTTTCTAGGCAGACCTGGGTATAAGACTGAAATGATTTTTTTAAAAAAATCCTCCATAAGCATGTTTACATCATCACTGCACAGATTAGCATTGCCATTTAAAATGCTTTACTTATTCTGTTGTTAAGCCACCCTTTTGAAAAACAGCTCAACAAGAACTACCTTTGAAGGCAAGTGAGCTATTAAATATACCATGCAGATAAATGTCATTAATTGGCACTTTTTGCAAGCAATGAAAACACAATCATTTTGCTTTGTTGAAACAGAATAAAGTAGTACTACTTAAAGTAGTATTGATGAACAGTGATGACTTTATGATTTAATTATTTTAAAATGATTGTTGGTATTGATACTAAAACAGTAGATATACTGGCCCACTATTGCAACAGAAATGATCAATGGAAACAAATCCTGCCAATGAGATCAATTCCTAAATGCTGAGTAAAACCTAATGACATATGTTCTAAGATGATGTCACAAACCGGTACCGAAGGGATATTGGGTTAGGTTGTTTGTGACCTTAATTAGGGAAAAAAAAAAGGACTGAGGTCGAGATGCCCACGTGGCACTCACCTCCCAGGGGAAAACAAGTAGAAGTTTCTCATTGTGTTCAATAATTAGTGTTGAGACCAGATATATATATATATATTAGTTTGAAAACAAAAAATTATTCTGGTAATGTAGAAAAAAAAATTAAAGGGAAAAGAGAATTGGGAAAGTCTCTGTCTGGAGACTGAGGATTGAGAGTCACTTGAATCTGGTGCTCAGGATGACATTGTCAGAATGAGGACTCGCTTCTCACAGATGAATAACCTATTTTACATGTCTACAGTTGAAGCACAACTACAGAAAATTAATGTGTCTGTTACCCACCTTCAGCAGACACTATTTTTAAATCTAAACCCTACTTAAATAAATCCATTTCACAGACTCAATTCCTACATTACCCTCATACTAAACAAATCAACTCAAACACACTCCACGTGATGAAATCAGAAGTTGCTTGCCCCCCTGCACCCAGTCCTCCTTGAGAGGTGCCGTCCCTGTGTGTCCGTGCCCTCACCAGAACCCACCTCGGGCACTTGCCTCCATGATCTCTGCCCACGCACATGCTGTGCCCCTTCTGCAGGCACCTCTGGCCTCCTCCCACACCATCTACCTCCAAAATCCCAGGTATACAGAACGCTAAGGAAGATGGGTGCAGGTCACAGACTCAGCATGAACAACACAGATGAAAATCAACCTGGCTAGCACGAGGCACCCGATTTCTCCTCTCCCATACAACGTGGTCCTTGCTACCTAGGACCCTGTTTAGGGTGCTGCCTGCACAACTTGAGGAAGCTCCCTCCAAAGGTTTGAGGTAGGCTTGTAAATTCCCAGTAAAGGGCATGACGCCTTTGAAGGCTCACTTCCCAAGGCTTGCTTCTGCGGCAGCGTTTTCTACTTGTAAAAGCCGCCAGGTAAAGGTTTTTTTTATTCAACACCGTGGACCCAAAGAGATAACAAAAAGCTTCTTTGGTTTTGTACTCTGTGAATGGCATGCCTGTCCGCAGCTCACATCAGTGTCTCGGACAAAGCCTGTTTTGGGAAAAGCATGGCCCGGGCCACTTCAGGTGTAGTAGGTGTGCACAGGC